GACAGTTAATGTATGCTGGCTTCATAAAATGGAAATGATTTATTTACGAGTTATAGTGTTGAAATATTGAACGAGAATTTACCCAACTAACCCGTAAGTTAACCCTAACGTAACCCTAGCTTTTCCCCGAATCTATAGAGTACTACCAGAAACATGCTAATTTTCACTTTCTGCTGATGTCTAAACTAACACAAATTTACTTTTTTATGTCCATAAATGAATAGAGTTTCGCATAATTAAAAGTAAAAAGTATATTTTGAGGTAATTGGTTGAAATTTTGTGATTAAAATATTCATTTTAGGTCTAATAATTTACCAATATAAATTCACCACAGACAGTTACGGTAGCGGATCGACTCGAAACTATCAATGCGTCTTGAACCGCATAATTAATTTAATCCGTACTGTAGTCAGTAAAACTGCCGCTCTGATTTTTTTTTAAATGAAAATTTGTGTATAGCCTCAGAAAAAGGCTAATTATTCGATTCCTGTGAATTTTTTAAGCTAATCCTTACGGTAGGATTTTAGAGCAATAATTGTAGATTCGTTTCATATAAAGGAAAGCATATAATTTGCAAATTTTAATAGTTTCCGCGATAAAGTCCAGAACGATATTTAGCCATAAGAAATAACCATAATTTTTCTGAAAGTCAATTCATGATCATAGTTTAATTTACAGGGCATTAAATTACAGAGTTATTACACATCATTTTCCAAAAATACAATATTGCGAATTCAAGTGCTATTTAACTTAAAAGCCCATGTATTAGGCAGTGGCAATGTAAAATTTGTCCTTAAAAATATCATAACGAAAGAGCCAGCTGTGAAAAGCGCCCCCAAAAAACTTGTGCGCTCTCCACTCTCTCTATATTTAAGTGACATAAAATTTTCCATTGAAAATAAAGAGCTGAATAAAAGAGACAAAAATTAGTATTTGCCTTACAAAAATGGGATACTAGCAAACAAATTTTTATCAAATTCCAATGATTATTTTAAAAGTTATAGCCGATCAAAATTCGGGAAAAATCCACACATGTGCACAAGATTTTGAGAGAAAACATGTTTTCTCCTATTAGTTGTATAATAAAACGAAATATTTTTATTCAGTTACTGAGAGCATGTTAAAATCATACATGTTCAATCCAAACTTGCTAAAAAAATCAAGCTTTTATTTAAAAAACGACGTTTTTTGTATTGGTCCACACATGTGCATTATCAAAAACACAACTAAAAATCGCCGAAAAACCCTATTTCTAGTTATCGAACCGCTATGAAAATCCGGGAAAACGTCTCCTGGGTATTTTTTAGCCTAGGAAAAATATAATCGTATCAATTTCATATCAGTAAGTTTGGTTTTGCTATTAGGAATTTGGAAAATTCGGCTTTGTAACAAATTGCCTATACCTTATATAGACCCGACTGATTTTTTGTCGCAAAATCGTGATTTTTCACAGATTTTCTTGAGCGAGGTGTCAAAATGACGGGAGACATGAGTGTTAATGGGAGAAAGTTGAAATCTCCCACAAAACTGCAAATAATTAGCAATTTAATTAATTTTTACCTGAAAGAATAGGATTTTTGTGTTAGTTAGTCCACACATATGCATTGTGCGTGGAGACTCTCACCGGTTAGCAAAAATG